GCGGGGACCCCTCTCCGGGGGACCCCTCTCCTAGGGCCGCTGCGCCAGCGCGATGCTGAGCGGCTTGGAGCCCAGGGTGCGGCCGTTCATCTCGGCCATGGCCCTGCTGGCCTCCTCCGGGGCGCAGAAGCAGATGAGGCCGAACCCCTTGCTTCGCCCCTCCTCCTGCATCACCTTGACCCTGCTGATGGACCCGAAGGCGGAGAACTCCCTGCGCAGCTTCTCCTCGTCGACCGTCTCGTCGAGGTTCTTGATGTAGAGCTTCACGCCGCGGAGCCGCCGGAACCTCTCCTGCTTCTGCTGCTCGAACAGCTGCTTGAGCTCGGCCTGGCGCTCGGCTTTCTTCTGCGCGCGCCCTACGAAGATGGGGTGCCCGCTCAGCTCGCGGCCGTTCATCGTCTCCACCACGCGCCTGGCCGCCTCGTGCGTGTCGAAGCTCACGAAGCCGAAGCCCTTGGACTTGCCGCTGGCGTCGGTCATCACCTTGACGCTCAGGATCTTGCCGTACTGGCTGAAGATGCCCTTGAGCGCCTCGTCGTCCACGTCGTCGCCGAAGTTCTTGATGTACACGTTGGTGAACTCGCCCGCGCGGTTCTGCAGCTCCGCCTCGCGGGCGCGCCGGTTCTTGAAGGGGCCGGCGAACAGGCGGCAGGCGCCCAGCAGGCGCCCGTTCATCTCGGCGATGGCGCGGTCGGCCGCCGCCTGGCTCTGGAAGTGCACGAACCCGTAGCCCCTGGAGCCCTGGTCATCGCACATCACCTTGGAGCTCAGGATCTTCCCGAAGGCGGAGAAATGCTCGTACAGCGTTTTGTTATCGATGGCCCGGTCCAGGTTCTTGATGAACACGTTCCCGATGCCCGATTTCCTTAGGTAGGCGTCACGCTGGGACCACATGAGCCGGATGGCTTTGCCCTGGATCAGGTCGAAGTTCATGGTGTCCAGGGCCCTCTGCGCGTCGGCCACGTGCAGGAAGTTCACGTACGCGTAGCCCAGGGAGCGCTGGGTGACCAGGTCCCTGCAGATGCGGATGGACAGCACGGTCCCCGCCGTGCTGAACTTGAGGAACAGCATGTTCTCGGTCACATCTGCAGGGAGGTCGCCCACGTACAGGGAGGCCTGGCGGTACTTGGGGTCGACGTCCATGCTGCTGTCCCCAGGGGCGCTCACAGCGACTCCTGCAGGAGGGCGGCCG